CTACTTAATTAGTACGTAGGTCGTAACAACTTTAATTACTACCACTAGTTAGTCTAGACTCATAGTAATAGTATCTGTTTTTTTTTTTTTTTTTTTAAGTACAGACTTTTAGCTCATAGCTCCATCATCTGTTTAGTGATTGAGATCTAATTACAGTTTTGGACTCAGGAAGTCAAACCCTTTTGATTGATATATTTGACAATGCCCAAGGTTTCATGGATCTATTTATTCTAATTCTGCCAAAACATATTTCAATTTGAGGGGTAGGCTGGTAGAGATCCTGATGAGTAATAAAATTGAATTTGGTATATGCGTGCCCCATGCTTGGTATTGCTGGTGCACAAAATTATAGCTAATAAAAAGTAAAGAAAAAGGATTTCATAGATTGATTTACCCTAATCATGCCTAAAAGAATTCCAAATTCCACGACTATTGAGAATTCCCTCATGTTTAGCTAAAACATGGAGAGGATTATGAAACAAAACTGTGTATCTGCTAGTCTCATAATATTTTCAAGAAAGATATGTTTTGAGATGAGAACATACAATTTTTTTCTCAGAAATTGACTAGAAATTTATAAAGGGGAGGGTTCACCATATGCTGTTATTTTCAACAGTTTTCAACCCTGTATATTATCATTTTGTTTCTTTATGTTTATATTATTGCTTTTCTTTTGCAGGTAATGGGTTTAGCTGGAACACGGAGCCTGGCATAGGTACAAGTAAAAGTCGTACTTTTAATTGCCGTTTCCTAATTAAAGCTCTTGAAGATCCTGACGAGAGTATGGAAGAAAAACAGACACGTGTATCTCACTATGAGAGCATGCAGATCTCCACTGTACTCCTACCTCATCCTGCTGAACATTCAGATAATTCAGAAGCTGAGGCTACGGGTTAGTTGTTAAGTTTTTATCTTCGTTTTTCACTTTTGTCAAAAAGGTCTTTATGTTCATGCTGTTATGAATTTGTTGATTCATTTGTAGTGTAAGATGGGTTTAATTATTTCTTTTCAATAGATGCACAAAACTTTTTGTTTTGTGTGGCCCGTCGAATCCCTTCAAATGAACAGAATCAAGGCTCACCTGGTATAGAACAGTTTACAACAAGGCTAGACATGACAGGCAAGATCTTAGCCATTGATACTAGGTAAGTATATCTGCTTTACTTCCGAAACGGTAGTACTTCTCTCACCCAAAGCTATCTCGATCCTGGTTTGCCCTCTAAGCAGTACTAAAAAAGTTCTGCTAACAATGCACCAGTTTTTAATACCCCTTCATTTTTGCACCATTTCACCAATCATACTGCACCATCTGTACTAGTGTAGCTAGCTCCCTCTACTATTCTAGCACAATCCTCACTTTCACCTTGATTTGGATTCTAGTATATAGATGTGTGTTTTAAATTGTTCTTCAGGTGACTACAAAGTTTTGATTGTGCTTGATCACAAATTTATATCAGTTTCAACTTTAAATTTTGACTTCTTGTGTTTGATTTCTATTGTTTCTACTCGTTTGTTTTAGAAATATTACTATTACCTGAATTCTAATTTGTTCATATGAATTCAAAATTTAATATGGCAGATGATGAAATTCCCACATTAATAGACAATGGTTTAGACACGAGTCCTCCAGGTTTCAAGGTCAATGATGTCTGCTTTGCTTCCCCAGCAGACATCTGCAGGGAGTTCATGTTTTACGTTTGACTGACGTTTTCTTCCTTTCACATTATGATTTTTTGTGAGGAAGAATATAACTACTGTATGGAAATTTCTTTCTACGGCACTTTCTACCTGTTACCGTACCTCCATGTAATTTGCTGGGTAAGGTATTGTCCTTTTATCCAGGAGATCTGTAGTAATTTTTGCAGTGATGTATTTATCACTCTCAATAGGCATACCCATGTTTAGCGAGTTTCTGTGTGCTTGTGTGGATGTACCTAATTTCCACTCTTCCTTGCTCAGTACTTGGTAAGTTAGATTTTTATAATTCTTTTACCTTCTAAGTTACTTTAGTTTAAATTTGCATTTAGCCTTTGATTATTACTTTGTTTTTGTTTAATTTTTGGTATATACTGGTTTTGCGCAATTGTTACTTTTTGAGTAATTGTATCTTCAGCTAATTTTGTGGGTGTGTTGGTTTGTTATTTTTTACTTCTTTTCATTGTTTATTTTACTTAGTTTGTAAGTTCCTTTTTCTTTACTACTAGTCACATCTAATTGGGGATTTGATTTGTCAAAATTTGTTGTTAACTGGATGCCTTTTTTATTCTCATGTTCTTCAGGGTGGGTTTTACTTGTGTGTCCTTTGTCATATGTGTTCTTTAGGTGGACTTGTGTTTTTGATATTTAAGGGTCTTTTCTTTTCTAAGTTCCTTTAGGTGTTGCTTATTGTTTTATTTTTTAGGTCGAATTTCATAGTTTTGCAGGTTTGTTATTTTTATGTACTTTGTAGACTCTACATTTCTAAGATTTGTTTGTTAGTATTGAGTACTTACTCTAAGTATGTTTAATTTGCGTCTTTTTGGCTACACTTCACGACAGCTCTGTGGGTTCTACGGGTTCTGTCTGAAGCTTTCTGTCTTCAGTTCTGCTCTCCCTCCATCCACTTCCCAGATCTCCTTACCTCTTCCTCAGGATCGTACCTTATCCAGTCATCTTGCTGAGTCTGTTCGAGACCTCCTACACCAAGGAGCTATCGAACGGGTGGTGCCCACTCAACTGGGATTTACTCGTGTCTATTTATTGTCCCCGAAAACATGGGAGATTAAAGATCCATCATAGATCTGTCTTGGCTGTATAACTATCTGGAGACACCTCACTTCACCATAAAGTCATACCCCCTCACTTTGGTCGTTTTTTTTCCCTAGGACTTTGGATGACTAAGTCGATGTGACAGCTGCCTATCTTAATATTCCAATTGCCTCAGTGTCACGTTGTTTAATACGGATAGTCCACAAGGGTTCTGTCTTTCATTTCTGGGTGCTACTGTTTGGTCTTTCTTTAGCTTTATGTGTTTTGTCAAATGGTAAGCTTTTTTGCATGTCTTCTTCACTCACCGTATCTTTGGACTCGCCATTTCAAGAAGCTTCTCAGGTAGAAGTATCTTATTCATTTGGGGGTTCTCTTCAACTCCCATCTTAGTCAAGCCCAGCCTTCTCCACTTTGGCTTCTGGATATGGAGTTTGCAGTCACGAAGGTCCTGCCTGCTCCTTCTCTCTCTGCGTGAAAGATTCTATCTCTTTTGGGGATGTGTGCTTTCTTGAAAGCTCTCATTCCCATGGGTCTGGGTGCACATACATTCCCTTCATTGGATGCTTTTTAACCAGTGGAAATTCTCCCACGATCCCTTGGACCATCTCATCACTCCTCCACCTGGGATCAATGCCGACCTTGCTTGATGGCTTGACAGGGACTTGACCACGGTGGTGGTTCCCATTCCTCTGCCTCTTCTGGAGTCTCATCTGTTCACAGATGGTTCCTTCGTGGGTTGGGAGATTTCAGGTCAGTGAACAGTTGAGGAGGCTACTCTCCATATCAACATCCTGGAATCTTTGGCAGCTCATCGGGCTCTGTATCATTTCCTTCTGCTCCTGCAGGGGCAAGAGGTTATAGTACATTCTAACAATTCCACTGTCGTCAGTTATAACACCAAGCAATGGGGAACCAAGTTCAGATCTATTTATTTTCAAAATCTGGATCTCCTGTGCTAGGCCATCGACCACGTTGTGACAGTTCTGGCATGTCATGTTCCCGAAATTATGAATCTTATGGACAATTGCCTATCCTGTCTCAACCAGGTTCTCCCCACAGAGTGATCCCTTCATCCTCAGGTATTTCTGTGGGTGTGTTCTCAAATGGGAACACTGCATATATATATATATATATATATATATATATATATATATATATATATGC